CTCAGGGTGGGCAGCAACAGGAATTTCCCCATGGAAAGGGGAGTCAGGCCTTGGAACTGTCCAGGGAGGTTTGGAGTGCCCATCCCTGGAGGTGTCCCCTGGAGGTGGCACTGGGCTGGGGACAGGGTGGGCATGGGCACAGCTGGGACTCCATGGGCTGGGAGAGTTCTTGCAGAAGAAATAATTCTGGGATTCTGTAAACAGGAGAAAACCAAGTGCTGACCCATCAGATGGTTCCAAAAGCAGATGCTCCTCCAAGTCAGGGTGGACACCTAAACCAGGCAGGAGAGGGAATCAGGAAGGAGAGAGCAGGATGATCCAGGGAAATCCAGAAGGACCCAAATCAATGAGAAGAGACAAGGGGGAGGCCTTAATGCACCAACCTGCCAGAGCTCCAGGAGCCAGGTGGGATTTTCAGGTGTCTGCAGGGCCAGGAGCTGTGCTGGATGATCCCTGTGGCCCCTTCCCGATGCCTCAGATTTTAGCTTTTATATTTTTCACATTCTGTGCTGCTTCAGTGTGCAGTTCTGAGCTCCATACTATGAGATGCTGAGCTCTCTGCACAGAGCAGGGAGGCAGAACAATTCCTGCTCCAGCTGGGCACCTGTTACAGTGAGCTCATGGGCACTCTGTGCCCCCTTCCCCAGGACCCTGTGACTCTGATCAAGATAACCCTGGACCTTCCTTTCTGCCCCAACAGGGCTGGCAGAGAGCCAGGGAAGCCCACCCTGTCCAGAGTCTATATAGACCCCTGACATTTCCTGTTTGTCCTCTTTGGCCCACTCTCCCATGGACATCACAGAATAAAGAGAGCTGGACCAACAAATCTCGGGGTAAGAGCCTCTTTTGGAAATCTTTGCCATCTCCTGATATTCTTCCCCTCACAGCCTCTGATCTCTGAGCTAGCCTGATTATTCGGGGGGCTGTGTGAGGGGGGGAACCACAGGCACCAAGGACAAATGATCCAAATCTCAGCCCAGGAGCACAAACACCGTGGGCTGGAGAGAGAAAAACAAGCAGGGTGGGACTGCCTGGGCTAAAGCTGGAATGGGACAATGAACTCCAAGGTGCCACTGGAGCAGAACTGATCCCAGGGAGAGCCCCCGGGAGCGCTCGTGCATTTTGGGACCATTTTGGTTCATTTGGGTGCAGCCCTGGCTGGGCTCTGGTGCTGCCCAAGGTGGATCCAAAGAGGAGATCCTTTAATATATCCCTGCTTCTTTACTCTTTAGCTCTATTCAGCCTCTGCTCCAGGGCAGCCTTCTCAAGGCATCATTCCCACTCTGGATATTCCATGATTCTTCAGACTCCTTCCCCTTTCTCTCCTGGAGCTCCTGCCTTGCAGAGGGCTCTGAATGCCCTCATGGTGGACCTTATTCCACTTATTCCAACCCAGATCCCAGCAAACCCCTGGCAGCCCTCCCAGCTCAGCTCAGCACACGGATCCAGCCCCAGAGCTCGGGAATCACTCATTTTTCCAGGCTGGAAGCAAAGCACGTGCTGAGGAACGTGCAAATCCTCTGCAGGCCCCCGAGCAATGAACCTGGAGCAATGAACCTGAAGTCCTGCAAATGCTGCAAGAAAAGCTGGAATTTGTTGCTGCCTCAGCTGAAAGCTGGGAGTGCGGCGTCTCCTGGGAGAGGGGTTGGATGAGAGACCTTTAGGGAAGACAAGGAAAGAACAGAGCTCCCAACAAAGCTTGCAGAGGAGGTGGAATGTGTTTATCAGTGGTGGGGAGGGACCTTTGCTGTGCCTTGGAGCAGCAGAGGCCTCATGAATAAAATATCCCCCCAGCACAGCTCAGGATGCATTTTCCACTTGGATCAAGCATGACAAACCTGCTGGAATTCAGCCCAAAAATGCAACGTTTACCTTGCATTGCTGCGGTGCTGCACCCACAGCCTGCCTCCCACAGAAACCACCAGGATAGAGGGAATTTGGGAAAGGTTTGAAGTATTCCTGAAGTGCACACAGAAAAACAAGGACAGATGTGACAGATTTGCTATCTCTGAGGGGAAATGGAATTCTTATAAAGGTGTTCTGGGTTTGCCCTAAACCAGGACAAAAGGTTATTCATAATCTGGGCCATTTTAGTGTGTCAAGGCCTCGGTCACATTTGCTTTGTGCTGGGCTCGTCCGCGCCCAGGTGAAGGCAGAGATGACCTGAAAAAAAATGGTAATAAAAGGAAATTATGGAAAGAAATTGAAGCAAAGAAAACCTGGGCGATCCTCCAGAAAGTTTTTCCATGATCTGAGGGTTCCTTGATTTTGAGTCTCTTTCTTGGTCTTTTCTGGAGACCTGAAGGTGCCATAAATCCAAAGGAGCAGCTCTGCCATGGCAGCAGCACAGATCAGCAGAGAATCCCAGAATAATTTGGACTAAAGGGATCTTAAATTCCACCCAGTGCCACCCCTGCCATGGCAGGGACACCTCCCACTGTCCCAGGCTGCTCCAAGCCCAGTGTCCAGCCTGGCCTTGGGCACTGCCAGGGATCCAGGGGCAGCCACAGCTGCTCTGGCAATTCCAGCCCAGCCAGGAATTCCCAATATCCTATCTAATCCAACCCTACTTTCAGTTTCAGCTCCTTCCTCCTCACATTTACCCATTTACCTGTAACCTCCATGAATTAGCCAGGAGGGAATCACTTTGGAGACAGCCTGTTTGTAGAAAAAAATCCAGTTTCTGCCAGGCTTTTTGGCCAAAAAATCCTCTTGTGCCTATTTTGCTATGTAGAATATTTGTAGGAAAAAAGTTACTTTTTCAACCAATCCTTCAACAATGATCCCACCCTGACCAGTACTGACTGTTGGAAAACAAGGCATCACTGGTGAAATCCCAATTTTTCAAAGAAATATCCTCGTGGGATTGAAATATTCCATTTTCCCAGCTGCTGCTTTGTTCCTGTATCAGTAAGACAAGACTTAGAAAACAAGGTGACACATTTACAAGCCTCGGAGGCAGCTGATGATTCCACACTTCTCTCCAAGCTATTTCCCAAAGGAATTTCACTTCAGACAGTTATAAACTCAGCATATTCCTCACTCAGAGACACCTCAGCAAGGCTGGGGAATATATAAATATACTCCCTTGTTTTACCAGGAATGACAGGTCTGGGAATATATGTTCATACATAAAATTAACTGTTTTTTTAAAAAATGTGGAATTGTAGTGGAAATACTGGGAATTAATTGCTACAAACTGATTAAGTGCTGTGGTCAAACGACAAATTAGTGATTTTTCCTTCCCGAACATAATTAAGATTGTCTAAATCCATAGAATTGCAGTAGGAACTCAATGGAAGTTGCTGATTGAACTGGAATTAGGGAGGGAAATCCCCACCTCTGTTGCAGCCGTGGATTTTGGATGGATAATGTGGATTTGGACAAGGACAGAGCTCAGGTGTTCCTTTAATGAACTGGAAGGAAACACGGACAAGGAGCAGGCTGCGGATGCCAAGAGAAAAGATGATCCTGGACGTGTGCAGTGGCCAAGTCCCATCGTGTTTTCTGCTCCACTTTCAGCTGCAGTCGCTTCCCGGTGACATTGCCTCAGGCAGCTCCTAAAATCCTGCTGTTCCCACCCCCGCCTGCTCCCAAACTCCTGCAGAGCTGCTGCTCACCTCAGGTGTGCACCAAAGGGAATAATTCACTTTCCATGAATTGTGACGCCCAAAAAATGGGGTTTCCAGGCCATCCCTGAGCTGGGAATTCCCAAAGTTAGCATCCAAGTCTTGGGGGACTGAATTATTCATGGATATGTTTGTCCCAACTCCAGTCTGAGGCAGTAAGAAGATCCTGGGTCCAGTTTTAAGTGTTTTAGCTCCAGACAAGCCCCTAAAACATTCCCACAGCAAATCCCAGCTTTCTGTTCCTGCCTGGAAGGCAGGAGGAGAATGCAGAGTGGGCTGGAGGCCAACAGAGAGAAGGGAGAGGTGAAAATAGAGAGAAAATAAAATATTCCACGTTGGAGGTGCATGAACAAGGGGACCAGGAAGAGAAAAGGAAAATATGGGAGCTAAAGGGAAAAGAAGCTGGAGGGAAAAGAGCCAGGGATGGGACAGGTCTGTTCTGGCAGTGACAGCACCCTGAGGTAACCAGGGCATGGAAATTGTCCAGAGAAATAAAAAATATGGACAACTCAAAGGAGAGACGTGAGGAAAACTCAAAGGATTGAGAGGGAATGGCTCCCCACTGCCAGGGGGCAGAGATGGATGGGAGGTTGGGAATTGGGAATTCCTGGCTGGGCTGGAATTGCCAGAGCAGCTGTGGCTGCCCCTGGATCCCTGGCAGTGCCCAAGGCCGGGTTGGACACTGGGGCTGGAGCAGCCTGGGACAGTGGGAGGTGTCCCTGCCATGGCAGGGGTGGGATTGGATGATCCCTAAAATCCCTTTGAACCCAAACCATTCCAGGATTCCAGGACTCCAGAGTTCCATGATTCCAGGTTTCTGTGGTTTCATGGTTCCAGGATTCCACTATTCCAGGATTCCAGGATTCCATGGTTCCGTAACTCCATAGTGCCATGATTCCATGGTTCCATGATTCCATGGTTCCATGATTCCATGGTTCCATGATTCCAGGATTCCAGGGTTCCAGGATTCCAGGATTACAGGGTTCCAGGATTCCAGGTTTCCAGGATTCCAGAGTTCCATGATTCCAGGTTTCCAGGATTACAGGGTTCCAGGATTACAGGATTTCATGGTTCCATGATTTCCCGGTTCCACTATTCCAGGGTTCCATGATTCCAGGTTTCCAGGATTCCAGGGTTCCGTAAATCCATAGTTCCATGATTCCATGGTTCCATTATTCCATGGTTTCATGATTCCATGATTCCAGGATTACAGGGTTCCAGGGTTCCAGGATTTCGTGGTTCCATGATTTCCTGGTTCCATGATTCAGGGGTTCCATGATTTCCTGGTTCCATGATTCCGGGGTTCCATGATTTCATGGTTCCATGATTCCAGGATTCCAGGGTTCCATGATTCCAGGATTCCAGGATTCCATGGTTTCACGGTTCCATGATTAGCCCATTCACTCCCACAGAGAACGACTGGGATTACTGGGAAGGCTCCATCTTCACCCGGAGCATTCCTGGGGCAGCTGGAGATCCCGGCCAAGGAATGAAATCCAGGGAATGTCTGAGTGGTGACGATCCTGTGGGATTTGCCTTGCCATCCGAGGGGGAAGGCTGAAATCCAAGCAGAGCTTATAGAGCTGTAAAAGGGGACAATATTGGGCTATTAAAATACAAATTACTGTTAAATCCCAAGGGGAAAGGGATAAAGGCAGGGACACCAGCGCTGGTTCTAATCAGCAGTATCTAATTAAATCCTCTGTTTGAGGTTTCAGTGGGAATTAGCAATGATTGGAATTCAGTCTGGTGTTCAGGAGCTTTCATCAGGTGTCCTTGGGAGATACCTGAAGATAAAAAGCTATTGGATGTGTTCAGTCCAGAGAGAAAAATGGTGTTAAATAATTCTGATTGTTTAGATTAGCTCAGGCAAATGGAGCTTTTGTGTCATTTCAGCTCTGTGAAATCAGCATGGGAAGGTGGGAGATTGGATTCCTGGTCAAAGGGATGCTCAGAGAGGAATTCCTGGGATTAAAAGTTTGGGGATCACTCAAACGATGGCCCCACAGTGCGGGAGTGACAAAGGAAGAGCTCCATTGGGCTGCTTTGGACTGGGAGTCTCTCAGAATCTCCTCTTCGTGTTTTGCTGGCATTATTTTATCATTAATTAATTTTCATCTTTACAGAGAGTCACACTTGTGTTCTGAACAAAACTCCTGTTGTGCTTTAGCACTGAAATCTGGGAATTCTCAAAGCTGTTGTCACATTTTTGTCCTGGAGCTGGCACTGTGGGAGGGGAAGGGACCAGCAGGAGCTGAGCCCTGAGCACGGGAACTAAACCAGAGCCAGGGCATCCCAAAAAAAACCACCCAAAATCAGGGAATGCTTTTCCTGGGATCTCTTTGAGTCTCCATTTCTTCATGTGCAAAGAAGAGAAAAAAAATTTTGCTTTTCTCCCCTCAGAGTTTACTCATTTATGAGGGACTTCCACCCTGCAGCCAGCAGTCCTTTGAGCCCCAGGAAATTGTGTCCCGTTTTCCACCCAGAGCCAGGATGGAATTCTCAGGAACACTGAGGCCACGGGCTGTGTAAACAGCATAAAATAATCAGAATATGGGGTTATAACCTCTGGAAGAAGAGGCAGGTAAGTCAGGAGGACAAGGATGTCAGGTGGTGAAGCAGGGGGAAATCAGAAGGGCAAAGCCCAGCTGGAATTTAATGTGGATACTGCCATGAAGGACTTTAAAAATATTCCTGTAAATATTTCAGCAACAAAGGGAAGCATGAGGAGAATCTCTGGACCTTGTTGGATGTGACAAAGGTGAGGAAAAAGCTCAGGTATATCGAGGTTCTTTGCCTCCCAAGACAAGGAGAACATGGAGGGACTGGAGCGTGTCCAGGGAAGGGAACAGAGCTGGGAAGGGTCTGGAGAGTTCCTGAGGGAGCTGGGAAGGGGCTGGAGAGTTCCTGAGGGAGCTGGGAAGGGGCTGGAGAGTTCCTGAGGGAGCTGGGAAGGGGCTGGAGAATTCCTGAGGGAGCTGGGAAGGGGCTGGAGAGTTCCTGAGGGAGCTGGGAAGGGGCTGAGCCTGGAGCAAAGGAGGCTCAGGGGGACCTTGTGGCTCTGCACAGCTCCTGACAGGAGGGGACAGCCGGGGGGTCGGGCTCTGCTCCAGGGAACAGGGACAGGAGCAGAGGGAACGGCCTCAGGCTGGGCCAGGAGAAGTTTAATTTGGATATTAGGAAGAATTCCTTAATGGAAAAGGCTGTCCAGCCCTGGCACAGCAGGGGTGGAGCCCCCTTCCCTTGGGGAATTTTGCATTCCTTGGGGGAATTTAAAATCCTTGTGGATGTGGCACTTGGGGACATGGGGCAGCGGTGCCTTGCAGTGCTGGGGAAGGGTTGGATTTGATTATCCAGAGGGATTTTCCAACCCAAACAATTCCCTGGTTCTGGTTTGAGTGAGCCCTTCTCACTCTGTTCCCTTCCAGGACCCTCAGTGAGGAGGGAGGTGCAGTGACCTGCTGTGCCACAATTCCCATCCCTCAGGAGGAGCAGCTGAAATCCATTAATCTGCCCCTTGTTTCCTGAGGGATTGTCCCTGTCACCTCCACCAGCAGCTTTTCCAGCAGCTCTGGGTGTTACACGTGTAAACAGTGACTCCTTGAACCTCCTCTGGCTTTTGCAAAATTAACATTACCTTTGTTTTCCACGCCCGCCAAGGAGCTTGATCCAGCTTTCCCAAATCCCTGGACAAGCCCTTGCTTTGTTTTCCTGAGGAACAAAACTCCAGCTGGGAGAGCTGCAGCCATCAGCTGCTTCTCCACAAAATCCTTGGAGCTCCCAGTCCTATTGATTGCAGGCAGAGCCTTGAAACAACAATTAACCTTTCTAACGACGCCTCTCCCTCCAAGACGCGGCTCAGTTGCTTTGCAAAGTTTGCTTTTAAAAAACGAACGAATCGATGCGATTTTGCATCTATTGACCCTTCTCAAATGTCAAGGCTGTGGTGGGGAAGAACTCTGAGGAGATGCAAATCTTGTTCTGGGTTTTGTGGGCATTCAGCCCTCAGTGTTGGTCACTGCCTTTTTAACATTTATCTCCTTTAATTTTCTAACGAACACAGCAGCTGAAATGGGCATTGTTAATGCCTTGGAAAACACCCTGGGTGTGTTTAGAGGACTCTGAGCTCATGGAATGTGTATTTTCAGGGATGAAACCTGCATTTCTGATTGAATAAGCAGCCTTCGAGGGTGAAAAAATTCCAGAATTCCATTTCTGATTTGAATGGGGCTCAGCACTCGGCCTTCATTCACAGGGATGAGCTCAGCCCAGTGCTGAGTTCTATGAGCTCCTCAGCAAATTCCAAGTCCTGCTAGAGGGCATTTCTTCCTCAGATCTTCCCTTAAAGAAGATTTTTTTATTCCCTGGCCACTCATTAACAGCGTTTCAGGTATTTCTTGCACCTTTAGTGCCTACAAGGCTTTCCAGAGAGAAAATAAAACACTTTTCACCCAAAACCTCTCCATGTCAGAGCAAAACACAATGCAAGGGCCCAACCCAGCCTGCCCATGACTATTTTATCTATTTGGGGTTTTTTTTCCCCTCCATATCAACATGGAATTTCTGCCCACAGGAATCACTTTTGCTGCCAAATTATCTGCTGATTAACACGGGGTAATAAATCAGTTTAATTTGCAGCCACCTGGGCAGAACAGCATGACCAAAATTCCTTTAGTTAGTCAAGGGCAGAAGCACCAACCCAGGAAAATTTGATACCAGGTTTAAAGCCTTCAAATCAATGTTCATTGTTAATTTGCTTGATTGAAAGTGCATCTTGAAATTCTCAATAAAATCAAGAGTTCTCAGAGTCTCAGGATTGTTGAAGTGTGCAGGCTCCTGGTTAAGGAGCAGGGAAAGGCAAGGGGAAAGGAAAATCAAAATCCTAAAATCCTCTTTTTATTGTAAGGAACAATATCTTCGTGAGTGGTGTTGAAACCATCCCTTCATGCATCCACAGGCTGCGAGTTGCCATTAAATAATGAATAATCGGCATCCAGTCGAATTCTCAGCAAATTGGGAATTCCAAATCATTGGGAATTTGACTGGAGGCTGATTTTGGATGCTTTGCCTTGACCTGCATTCCCTGAACGTGATGATACCACATGTGAAGGGATGTCCTCAGCTCCAGTGGGATGCAGGTCAAGGCAAAGCAGCTTCCAAGAGGATTCTCTGCTGGGAAGAGCCTCCAGCCAACACTCCCCTTCTGATCTCCAGACCTTTCCCTGGGGACATTTGCTCCCACCATCCTTCATTCTTTGTATCTTCACAAATTCCACCTTTTACCCCTGCACAGGAGCCACAGAGACATCCCTGTCCCACGTCACCCCTGCCTGGTAGCCTAGTGAGCTTCGGGAGGGGGATCACAGAATTCCAGACTGGTTTGGGTTGGAAAGGGATCCTAAATCCCACCCAGTGCCACCCCTGCCATGGCAGGGACACCTCCCACTGTCCCAGGCTGCTCCAATATCCAGCCTGGCCTTGGGCACTGCCAGGGATCCAGGAGCATCCACAGCTGCTCTGGGAATTCCAGCCCAGCCCCTCCTCACCTTCCCAGGCAGGAATTCCTTCCCAAGATCCAATCTAACCCTGATCCTCCAATCCTGAAGATGTGAGATGGTGATTTTGAATCCCATTTCCCCTCCAAATAAGCAGCACTTTTGTTTTGATAACAAAGAAACAGAATATTTCCTGCAGGGCTCATTCCCAATCCCAGAAAAACCAGTGGGATGTCCATCCATCAGCAGCAGCATTGGCCAGAGTCCCTCAAAGTCCCTCAGCTCCCATCCAGTTGTTTTCCCAGTGTGAGGATCCAGCAGAGGGGATTCAGACTCCACATCATGCCATGCTTCCTAAAGAAACCACTCCCTGCCTTAAAATTGAAGGAAATAAAAAATTAATTTTTTCAATTATTTTTAAACCTAATTTTGAGGAAATTTCCTTAAAATATTAAGAAATTCAGGATGGGGCTAAAAAGTCTTTGTGCATTAATACCAGACTGAAGTGGTTTCTAATTAGCTCACAGTGATGAAGGGAAAACCTTAAAGAAAAGTGAATTTTAAACAAATTAAGGTGCTAGGAATGATCAGCATTTCCTTGTCCTACAGATTAATTTGCTGACTATTTTATTTTCCTTTTCCTTGAGGGCCTTTTAATTATGCAGTGAAATCTCATCAAACCCAGCTGAAGAAGGGCAGGACAATTAGGAGCAAGCAAACACTTCAGCAGAAGGCCCCACCTCGATTATTTTTGCAACAACACCTCAGCGAGCTCCAGGAACTTTTGTCGCATTTCCAGCCAAATCCTGATCAGATTTTCCCAATAATCCCAACAATTCAGCAAATCCCCAGGCTGGGCTCCCTGGGGAAGGCCACAGGCTTTGAATTTGTTGTTGCTGGGGTGCAAAATTTATTCACACTGGACTCAGAAAAGTAGTTGTAACTTGGAATAAACCATACTTGGAAAGGAAATAAACAAGGGTAAAAGAAATTGATAGTAAATTATTAATTTGTTTACTGTTGCTGCCCCTCTCCAAACTTTATGAGCCACCTCAAGTCCCAAAAAATTCCTATTTTCATGTTTTGGTTGTGTCACATTCTGGCTGCTCACGCACACCTGGCATGGCAAAGCCCTGATCCCAGAACTCCAGAATGATTTGGGTTGGAAGGGATTTTAAGAATTGTCCATTTCCAGCAGGGACACCTTTACTATCCGAGCTTGCTCCAAACCTGGCCTTGGACATTTCCCGGGATGCAGGGGCAGCCCCAGCTTCTCTGGGAAGCCTTGTGTTTGTAGGGGTGGATGAAGTGTTTATAAAAAACAAATCAGGAAGGGAATTAAGGACCTGTTCCATGGAGAGCCATCCCAAAGCCATGGCTGGAGACGGAATGTGCTGAAAGACAAATTTCCCAGAAAAACTCCCCAGGCTGATGTCTGGATCAGGTTCTTCTCTTTCATTCCTGGCACAGTTTTTGCCTCCACTCTCTCCTGTTATTTCTGGAAACCAAAAATGAGGAGACGAAGAGAAAGTGAGAGCAGAGGGCAGCACCAAGCACCAAACTGGGCATGGAGGAAGGAGAAATCCGGGTTTGGAGCACGACATTCCCAGCCAGCACAAGGAGGACATTTGTTCTGCTGCTCCTTCCAGCAACTGTACCAGGAGATGGATCTGTTCCCAAGAATCCCTTCTCATCAGGATCTCCTCAATCAAACCTGACACCAAGGCAGCGTCTGCCCAATTGTTTTTATTTCAATTTGTTATCTATCACATCCAGCTCCTCGATAAAAGCCGTAAATCTTCCCAAGGTCCACCAGGAGTGACCCTGAACGCTCCTGATTTTTGGCTGAGAAAGGTTGGGATAAAGGGCTCTGCAGCGGTCATGGAGTGGTGCATCCCCTTTGGGCTGGGGGGAAGGGTTCAGATTCTGCAGAGACAACAAGGGTGAGATGGAATTTGAGGGTCTGGGTGCACAGGACCCCCAAAAATGTTGGCACTGGAAGGATTTGGAGCTGGTGGGGCAAGTCCAGAGGCACCAGGGTATTCCAAGGGATGGAGCAGCTCTGCTGGGAGGAAAGGCTGGGAGAGCTGAGATTGTTCACCTGGAGAGGAGAAGCTTTGGGGTGACCTTTTTGTCACCTTGCAGGGCTGGAGAAGCCACAGGAAAGATGTAGAGTGAGGATTTCCAATGGATGGAGGGACGGGACACAGGGAATGGCTGAGAACTGACAAACTATGTTTAGTTTGGGAATTGGGAATTAGGAATTCCTGGCTGGCAGGGTGGGCAGGCCCTGGCACAGGTGCCCAGAGCAGCTGTGGCTGCCCCTGGATCCCTGGCAGTGCCCAAGGCCAGGCTGGACACTGGGGCTGGAGCACCTGGGACAGTGGGAGGTGTCCCTGCCATGGCAGGGGTGTCACTGCATAGACTTTGAGGTCTCTTCCAACCCAACCTATTCCTTGATTCCATGATTATCCCTGGTGAGGCTTCCTTTTCCATGCTCCACTTTTCCGTGCTCCCAAACCCTTCCCTTCTTCCTGTTCTCTTTCCAAACACAGATTGGGATCTGTGGTGAGTTTTTTAATGGGAAATCCATGACTCAGACAACATTTAACCCTCCTGCTCCGTGGATGAGAGTACAGCCCAGACTTTTTTCCACCAAACCAGGTTTTTGAGACAGTCTCCTTCCACACCCACAATAACTGAGATATTTTCATTCTTAAGCAGCTCAGCAAAGCATTGACAGGAGAATTTATCCAAAAGATACCTTGCTATACAACTTGATTGTTCTTGCAATAGATTTATCAAAGCCAAGTCAAGGAATCTGAATTATTTCGGAGGGAACTGGCAGAAATGTCTCAGGGAATGTCTACCTTGAAAACCAATTAAATGGGCTTAGACAGAATCACTTTCATGTGGGCTGGAAATTAATTGCAAGGCAGAATGCAAAAGGTAATGATGAATATTAATGAGCTGAGTTGGTGGCAATATCTGAAGGGGGACATTTTCATCTGCTGTGGACAGGGGAATGTGACACAGAGACTTTAAACCCCAGGTGTCTGCAATTCAAAAAATCAGGTTTATACACACACAGAGGCTTGGAAGGAAATGTGTTCAGCAAGGTGTGAACTCTCAGAGTGAGTGGGTTTTCATTCCTTCACCTTCCCTGTCAATGGATGTGCCTGATTTCCATCCCATAAATTATTAGTAGACACATAAATACCTCTTCTTCATGATTGAAGCTGCAGTCAATTATCTTACCTTTTATTTCAGAAGATCTGAAAGAAAAACCCAGTATTTAAACTGTTTCTGTTTCACCCAAGTGGGTTCTTTTCCCACTCAACTCCTCATTACTACATTCAGTTCCCATTAAACAAATTCCAAGACACTTAAAAATGATGGTGGTAGAAGGAGAAGCTCCATTTTATTGTTTTGATTAAAAACTTAGAGGTTATTGCACACCTGAGTGGAGAAACCAGCATCCCTCCAAGGTAACAATTGCAATGAACTGGGAATTTTCTCCTGGGAGATCTGGAAACACCTGGAGGGGCAGGGATTGAGGCAGGTAATGGCAGCCTCAGGTAAGAAATTATTTTTCTATAAAACCAAGGCAATAAACTCAATAAAGTTCCAGATCTGCCCCTGTCATTTTAGGCTCGGTTTAGGAGGGGGATTGGCACAGCAGTCCCAGGGTTGGGCTCAGCAGCTCATTCCCTGTATTTTTCCATCTCTTTTCTCTGGGATGAGTTCTCCAGATGTTCCTGAGGGTTTGCAGCTCCATCCACTCTGAACTAATCCTATAAAAATGAGCAATCAGGGATGATCTTCACTCACTTCATATCAGGAGTTCAGGGAAATGAAGATGGAAAACCAAAATTAACATCCCTGCTGTAAGAAGGGCTGAACATTAATATGGATGATCCATTAGGGAATTGACTGACGGATGACCCCTTCCAGGGCCTGACCACCCTTTCCAGGAAGAAATTGCTCCTGATGGCCAACCTGAGCCCCCCTGGCACAGCTTGAGGGATGAAACAACAACCTGGCCTCGGGGCAGGAAATGAAAGGGGAAAATTTGCAAACTCTTCATTTCCTTTTCCTATTCCTACATGATGTCCATGTTACAACTGCAGCGGGACAGAAGATTCTGCTGGAATCAGATGCATTTTCAGTGGAAATACACCTCAAACTGGAAGTTCCCAT